CCCAACGTCAATTTTCGGAAAATATCTGTTCGGAAGACGATTTGAGATCTAGAATTTTCGGAACACTTGTAAAATTTCTTGCTTGCCTACCTCTCCTAGGATTTTCGAACATCAAAAAATGTTATAATTGCCCATTTTTAACGGATTTTTACACTAAAAAGATCACCTAGAATTTTCGGGAGCCTTTTTTCTGGCTGAAATTTTCGAAAAGGTAAGTTTTGATCCCTATAATTTTCGGACCACTAGACTTTCAGCTTGGAAAAACGAACAGGGGATAAAAAATATGCCCATATCTACCGTTTAAATACTAAAATACGTTTAACAATGCTACGTTTAAGTGGTTTGAACTATATTCTCGCTGGGTGCCCCTGACAAATTGGCTAAATTGATTTATTAATAAAATTCGAAGAAGCCTATAGGAAACACCATTAACCAAAAATGTTTAGAAATTCATCTTTATTTCCAATTTTACTTGCAGATGGAAGGGTCTTCGCAACTTTTGTCCAACCCGAATTCCATTGATAATCAGTCCTCCGTTACCAACAGCACAGCTGTAGCCATTACTTCTTTAGTTTACGTGTTCGCGCCAGCAGATTTCAGCATAAAACTCGTTCTTGTTGTACTTTTTGTAATTTTTGGAGTCATCGGATTGGTGGGCAACATCCTAATTCTTTATTTTCTTTCCAAGAAAAAGTCAGTTCCTTTTCTGCAGTCTTCTCCTTTCCTAAGAAACTTCAATCTTTACATGAAGAGTTTAGCTCTTTCAGAGATACTCGTAATTTCCATTGGAGGTGTTTTAGTTGGTATAGAACTAATGTACGATGTATTCCAAAATGGCTGGCCTTGTAAAATACGTCGATATATCAGCGGTACGTTTTACGTTATAAGAGCGAATAATTTAATTGTTATAAGTACCGAGAGGTTTCTTTCAACCCGTGATGTTCCTAAAACGTTCAGTGGTTCCACTGTCCGTAAATTAGTGTATACAGCGTGGCTTTCAGGGTTTTTAATGGGATTGTTTCCAGCAGCAACAGTAAATGGTGTAAGATACGATATTAATGCTACACATTACACAATTGTCTGTAAATCCGATATCAGTTATCTACCTACCAGAGTAATTATGGTAGGCTTCGTACTGATACAGATCGTCATACCAAGCATTGCTTTGATTTGTATGAACATCATCATAGCCAGAAGGATATGGAAAGGAAGCAAAAGAAGGATCGATATACAACGAGATAACGCCATTAGGGCGAAGATGAGATCACACCAAATCAAAAAAACTAGTTTAATTATAATTGTCACCATAGCTTCCGTTCTTTCTTATTCGACAATACTGTATTACACAGCCTTTGTTGCGGTAGCTAAGCCATCGCTAGATTTCCAGGACGATTTTGTGATAAGACATATTAGTCGGGTGCTAGTTTTTTCCGGCAGTGCTATAAACTTCATCACATATCTGGTTCAGATGAAGGATTTCCGTGTATTTTTACTGAAACATTTTTGCGGCAAGGGTGCTGGAAATGCTCAAATTAATCCTAATGTAGAATAGCCGGGGAGCACATGGTTGCCATGCGGCTTACCCTGTCAGCGGCGAGGTAAAGATACATAGTATTAAACTGATAAAAAGTTTTAATTTAGAACTTTCAGTGTTAAAGAACTGCAGCTGATATATTGTAGAAGAATGAGCTTATTTAGTGCAAAATATTGCAACTACCCATAACTTAATTATAACAGGCAATTCAAAGTATTGGCTCAGAAAACGAAACATTCAAGTGGCATACAATGTTTATATCTTCTCTTTTCTCATTACATTTTTCTGAACTAGCCTGGGTCATGCGTTAAAGTTGTGCCATGTAAATCAACCTCGTTTAAAGATAAGAGGTCGCAATATCGTTTAAATAGTTGTACAGTGATTATGATTGCCAATAACTCACACAAAGTACTAGGCGTTACAAAATGTTCCGTGAAGACTGCAAATGTAAATATACTTTCTATGCTCCACAAATCTCTCGTAAGGCCAATCTTAGAATATGCAGCACCAGTCTGGAGCCCTTATCTGGCGAAAGACATCCATTTACTCGAATGTGTACAGAGAAGCGTTGCGAATGACCCCAAACCAACGTAAACGAGAGATGTCTTAGAGGAGCGATGCCAGCGGCGTAAGTGGCTTACTTTATCTTATCGCAGAACTTGTTTATCTTTAGTCGAATGTTACAAGATTGTCTTTGCTTATTATCATCTTAACTTTGAACATTTTTTTTAATTCACTACTCCTTAATCTACAGAGGCAATCATTCTTATAAACTTTATGTCAAATCAACAAGACTAAATTGTCATAAACATTCCATTTTTCATTAGAGTAGTCAACTATGGAGTGATTTACCCAAAGACATAGTTGTAGCTGATAGTCTTCAATTATTTAAATCTAAGCTAAAACTAAATCTCAATGTTTAACAAAGAATTACCTTTTACTATTATGGTAGTTGTTATTATGATATTTTTATCTTTTTATTTATTCACTTATTATTTTGGGGAGTTTTAACGTAGCGATAACCTCCTAACTTCCCATTCAAGATGTCGTTTTTCAACTTTTAAACCTTGTATATATTTTAATGCAGCTTGAACAAATTATGTATGTATGCATGTATGTAAAGTGAAAAATAAACTTATCTATTAACTGTTTGACACTGTTCAACTGATTATTTTCTTTTATAAGAATTTTCCACGTCCGAGAACAAGGCGCGGTGACCAAGGAGACCCAGGGTACTGGAATAAGCGACGCTGTGCTTATTAAATTTTTCACCCCTCAAATGCAGCGCTTATTTGAAGGTGGTGCTTATTTGGGGTGGATCTTTCCGGCTAATCGGGGAGGCGCTTATTCGAGTAAATATGATGTGGGTGAACCTAAGAGATTTCAAGCTTATATTGAACCCAAGACAGTTTAATTCAGTTTTAAATACCCAGCTTGGGAATTGGGAATTGGGAATTAAGCAGTTGGTCTGACGAAACTCACTGCAATGATCTGCTTGAGTGACTACCAAACAGTAGCTTCCGAGTACACAAAACAACTTATGAATCAGACACATATTTCAATTTCGCGTCTAACGCTCCTCTGACTTTCTTTTCTCGATCTTTTTTTAAATCACGGTATTGTTCTTCAAAAAATGAGAGTTGTAACAATGACCTTGATATCAGTGCGGAAAGTGGTACCTGTAAACTCGTAATGGCGGCAACCGTTTATAACTGAAGATTTTTGCAATCAAACCTCTTTAATTTAAGGCTGTGTTCACACTATAACGGATAGCTTTTCTTGGCGCCACGAAAAGCTATCCGTTATAGTGTGAACACACCTATCCGATATGTGACTCACCACTTTAGAGATCGGCGCGGCGTAGCTTCGTTTCGTCACAGAAATTGCGCCGCTAAAACGGTTTTTATGTCTGAACAGAAGCTTAATCCGAGATGATTCTCGTGGCGGCGCAAAAGCTATCCGATATAGTATAAACATAGCCTAAATATGGGGAAGTTAGCAACTCAGAATGCGTAGCGAAGTGTTCGCAAGTCAGAGTTGAATGCATTTTTGACTGCGTTTTAGTGAGGCAAAATTAACTCTGAATACAAACACTCGCCGTTGGCACTAGGGCTTTCGCGTGTGTAACTGTAAACCTGTTAAAAACGCGAATGGAGAGTGAAGGTTTTATGCTTGAAAACTTTCGTCGAACCTTTTCTCCCGACAAGACTGACTGCCCCTGGATCTCATCCCAGGATGGTGAAGGTTTGAACAGTCACAAGTTTCTAGCTCTATTCTCCGCCAGTGTGCATGCTAATCTCGTATCCAGATCTCCCAAAGCCAAGGGAAAGGAGATCTCACTTTTCAGAGTATACTAAGAAACGATGAGACCTATGACAGAACAAGCTTAGGTCTACACATGGCACCAGTTGCGACACCAGTTGGACTGCCTTCTCCACAGGCTTTAAAGTCCCCAAGCTTAATGGGAAGCAGGGAACAAGCAAGAAGCGCGAAAGAGACAAACGAGAAGCACATGACTGGGATGATACCGGGAACAAGTGAAAAGAGGGCAGGCATTTTTACTTAAGACGTGTTTGGATTCCTAACCGTTTACGCACATCGATAAATCCTGGGAGCAACGACAAAGGCGACGGCGAAGGCAATGATAACATCAAACGGAACGAGCCCAATATAAAGTAATTGAAAAACAACAAATTTTGTACGTGCAGCGCGCTTTTCGTTACAACCTGTACGAAGAGGACGTTAAATTTCCTTTTGCAACGTTTTGAGGACAAACACAGGGGCAAATTCAATTTCTTCCGAGTCCGAACTTGGGTGCGGTCCCCAAGACTTCATAGGGAAGTTCACCTACATTTGCCATTTGGAGAGAGATGAAATAAACGCGAAAAAGTTAAAAAAGAAAAAACCCGTGCATTCATTTTGATAGCTAGGGACGTTTTCGTTGCCCTCTCCGTCGTTGTTGCTAAGGCGCCCTTTATTCATGAAATTGACAGTTCCATTTTGGTTTACTGCAACCTCGTACGATCAAAGACGGAAAAGTATCCGCATTCGTTGGACAAACTGTTTACACTATAAAACATGGCGAATTTACAAGACATCAGATTCACTTTAGATTTCGGATTCAAAATCTATAGAGACACCTTTTCAATTCGTTATTACCCACTGCATCTAATCAAAAACGACAAAACGAACCCAGTAACAAAATTACCAAGAAAAGTACGTAGTCTTAAATTGCATGTAAGACAGATGATTGACATGCATCAGTCAATGGACCCCAACACGCGACAAAGTATTTTACAAGTTGCTAATGTCATTTCATATATGCAGAAAAAACTCTAAAGTTTCGGAGAATTGTTCGTACCTCTGAAAAATCCTGGCTACGCCCCGGACAGGATGCCTATTATTACCGTTTTATATATTGAGGGTTTTTGTTGAGTTTTGTTTTGTTTTTGTTTTTTTGCTTCATTTTTTTAACCGTACTGGTCCAGTCCTGGGTTGGAGTTTCCCAAGTTATAAAAAAAGAAACTCTTACCTTGGAGTCATGACCTGTCTTGGTTAAAGGATGGTAGAAGTCCAGAAAGGTGTGAGAACCAAGATTAATGGTGGAAACCACTGGATAAAATAATGGTCCATCTGTATGAGGCTGAAAATAACAAAGGATCNGGTCCCCAAGACTTCATAGGGAAGTTCACCTACATTTGCCATTTGGAGAGAGATGAAATAAACGCGAAAAAGTTAAAAAAGAAAAAACCCGTGCATTCATTTTGATAGCTAGGGACGTTTTCGTTGCCCTCTCCGTCGTTGTTGCTAAGGCGCCCTTTATTCATGAAATTGACAGTTCCATTTTGGTTTACTGCAACCTCGTACGATCAAAGACGGAAAAGTATCCGCATTCGTTGGACAAACTGTTTACACTATAAAACATGGCGAATTTACAAGACATCAGATTCACTTTAGATTTCGGATTCAAAATCTATAGAGACACCTTTTCAATTCGTTATTACCCACTGCATCTAATCAAAAACGACAAAACGAACCCAGTAACAAAATTACCAAGAAAAGTACGTAGTCTTAAATTGCATGTAAGACAGATGATTGACATGCATCAGTCAATGGACCCCAACACGCGACAAAGTATTTTACAAGTTGCTAATGTCATTTCATATATGCAGAAAAAACTCTAAAGTTTCGGAGAATTGTTCGTACCTCTGAAAAATCCTGGCTACGCCCCGGACAGGATGCCTATTATTACCGTTTTATATATTGAGGGTTTTTGTTGAGTTTTGTTTTGTTTTTGTTTTTTTGCTTCATTTTTTTAACCGTACTGGTCCAGTCCTGGGTTGGAGTTTCCCAAGTTATAAAAAAAGAAACTCTTACCTTGGAGTCATGACCTGTCTTGGTTAAAGGATGGTAGAAGTCCAGAAAGGTGTGAGAACCAAGATTAATGGTGGAAACCACTGGATAAAATAATGGTCCATCTGTATGAGGCTGAAAATAACAAAGGATCTGAAGGATTGCCGTATTTACTCAAAGAAGCGCCACGGCGCTTATTAGATTTTTCACGCCTCAAATATGGCACTTATTCAAAGAATTGTACAAACTACGTTATTATAATTTTTCTATATTAGACTGACAGAATTCAATTCTCTTGGTTTTAATTATACCAGGACCGCAGTGCTTATTTTTTCATACCCGGTAGTCCCAGAGTCAGTTGTACAGGATAGATGTACAGTCAACTCTCTTCAAGACGGACACCTTTGGGACCGGCACTAGTAAGTGTCCGTCTTAGAGAGATGTCCATCTTATAAAGAGTCAAATTATAAAGGGAATAAACAAAGGCAGGGACCAACTCTAGGTGTCCGTTTTACAGAGGTGTCTGTCTTATAGAGGTGTCCGTTAAGAGAGAGTCGTCTGTAATGAAGTTCTGCTACTGTTTCTATGAAAGAAAACTAATGTTGTGATTGACAAAGTGAATCCTCTGTAACAGTATCGCAAAGGGTCAACCCAGTTGAAGTGCAATAAGGTTTCTTTTTTGTTGTTGTTGTTTTAATGTAATATTTTGTGTTGGGGTGCATAAATATTTAGGATGAAAAACTAGCCTGCTTGGCATGGCGGTTTTGGCTAGAGGTGCAAACAAGGCAAGCTGGGGGCAGTGAAACTGTGTGAAGACTGTGGCCCCCGCTCGTTCGCGCGCACTTTGCGCGCACTTTTGAGGCTTTGCCGCTCAGTAGTGTGCAAAAAAAACCGCCATGCTACTCAGGTTAATGAAAAACCGGCACAGATGACAGGTAAATTCCATAAAACCCTTGCCCATGGGGAGGTGAAGATTTTAAAAAAGCACACATATACACTTTTTTCAACAGAAGTGTTTCTTCTCACCATTATTCCTTGACCCAGTTCATACTCATTTACTAATACATGATTTGGAGCAACATCGCTGAATACTGAAAGAGCCCCAACCTTGGCAGAGTATTTCTGTAGCCACTGAAAAACAAAAGATTTTATGTCATGATTTTTGCCCTTCTCAGGGTGCAAAGAAAATCATTTTTACAGCTTGCCATTCAGGCAAGCTGAAGCTAGCATTTACTAGCCCTGATGTCATTTCAACTAGCCCCAGACACTTTTTGACGAGCAGAATTGATTTTATAGTTCTTCTGTTATTCGAATTGCTCAAAAAACATCACTTGCCCTTCAGGCAAGTTAACAACAGAATTCACTAGCCCAATATTAGCAAAATCCACTAGCCCCGGGCTATGCGACATTACTTTCTTTGCACACTGCTTCTCCTCCTAGTCCAATTTATTTAATTATTATAGTACAAAGATTTGTCACACTAACTTTTAATTGGTGGACAAAATCCTATGATACAATTTCTTAAACGAATCACCTTTGACATAACTTTGCCTAATACTATTCATTTTTTAGGATTTTACGAAAGAAGAATTGAATTTATGGCGAAGTTTTTGCCTAATGGCTACTATTAGGATTGAAATGGGGTAAATCATCCAAATCATCTCATATTAAGAAATTTAGACAAACATGTCATAATTATTATTACTTACCGGTGGAAGTTTTTCAAGAACCATTCCCTAAGAGGAAAAAGAATAAAATTATATGACTTAATTGTTAATTTATGGAAATAGTCATTTTGTGTTAATAGTACAACTGTGTTGTTCCTGAAAATATTCGCATACCTTTCCAATACAAATTATGTTGTTTTAAGTTGACCCTCACCTTTCTACCAATCAGGAAATAATTACTTTTAGTTTAATACTTTCTTTTAAAATGTTAAAAATCTACATATATGTTGTTTACCTTGGGATGTGGTAAGCCACCTAAATAAGATAAAATTGAAGAAAAATGACATTAGACTCAATTCGTACATTGTAGTGTTTCACACAACTAAAAATTAGCAACACTACTGATCTGAGTTACATACCATAAACAGCCCCTTATAAGCCCCCACTGTCCTATAAGCTCTCCCAGTTATAGGCTTATCTACCTACCAGCAAACAAAAAAACCTTTCGATTATAAAAAGCCCCCGGATATAAACCCCCCTATAGCTTGTATTAAAATGAATTTTGATTTAGTTTAATACAAGCTAGAGGGCGGCTTAAATGCAGGGGGTGCGGGGCGTGGGGTGGGGGCTTTTTATTATGACATTATGTAGTCTCCCTCGCAGCTGTTTTTTGGATGTCACGCAATGCTCCTGTGACATCTAAAAAATGGCTGCGAGGGAGACTAGACATTATGCAGCTTTATCAAAAAATAGTAAATGCAAAATCCACTCGTCTACAGCTTGTTTCGATGCCATTTTTTAATTTCCAGTTATAAGCACCCCCCCCCCCCAAATATAAACCCCTCAGTTCATAAGCCCTCCTAAAACCACTTACAAGATGTATAAGCCCACGGATTATAAGAGTCAGTTTACAGTATTTTGATATGTTCATTGGTATAGTAACTTTTCTGTTTGTTTGTAATTTACCCCAATTTTGAAGTCGCCTTCCTGAAAGTTTTGTCCACTTTGGTTTAGGAGCTCCATAAACCTAATTTTGACACAGAGAAAAATTATTAAACACTGATTTATTACCAACATAAATAGAAATTATACCACACAGTATTATATAACTTAATAGCCATTTATCATTAATTTTTTTAATGATATAATCTTTAAAACAAATTTTTGTCACATTTTAATTAATCTTGTATATAAAAAGGCAACAATTCCCAGGCAAGATGCAGTCTAGACAAAAGCTGAGGATTCTTCATGTCACACGTTCTCGGGCCAGGCATTCATACAAAAACCCCGCGGTGGGGCTTAAAAATAGGGTGCAAATGCCCCACCCTGGGACAACACCAAAATGGGTTTTCCAGTAAATAAGCTGCAAATACCATATTCTTGCGATATGTCAGTAATAATCTGATCAAAATACATGAAGCACCCTATGCAAATTGCTCAGCCACCAGTTATAATCACCAATCACCAGTAATAACAATTATTGCAAAAAAGATCATGGACATGCTTGCCATTGACTGAGCTATCAACTTGCCGATAACCATGCACTACTGAAGATGAACTTTATAACATCAATGGAGGCAAGGATGTTTTAGCTTGTTTTTAACCTAGGGATTATTTTGAATGAATAATAAAAGAATTATTGAATTTGGCTTTCATATCATCTGAAGAATTATGGAGATCTCAGAGGGTGTTATCTGCCGAGGCTGTTATATTCATTCAATAATTGATAATCAAGCTTATTTAAATACATTTTCAGGGTTCGAAACATCCTCGGAGACCTAGGGGCAGATGGTGGGGACGAGGGAAACGGCGAGAAGAGCCCTGGGGACAATGTCTTACCAGACCAGTTCCAAACGGTCGCCGCCGTTCTGACTTCTGATTGGTGCCAGAAAACTTTTGTCTTTTTCCGCCCAATCAGAAGGCAGAATGGCAGCGACCATTTGGAACTGGTCTGGTAAGACATTGTCCCCAGTGGCTCTTCTTGCTGTTCTTTACTTTTCTTCGTGCCATATTTTTCTGCCGTTTAGACTTTCCCTCGCCCCCACTATCTGCCCCTGGGTTTCCGAAGATGGGTGTGAAAATGACTGAGGGGTCATTTTGTCCCCTCCAGCGTTTAGAAAAAGACCTGAAAAAATTAGAAAATTTTCAGCACAGTGAATTGTTCATAACAAGCAGAGCACAAATTGTTCAAAACAAAGCCTGCAAAATGTGGAAAATTGCGGCCAAATTATCAAAGTTTCCACTGGAATTTTTGCTTGAAGCATGTCAGCAACTAAATATATAATGATCAAAACTGAATTGTTAACAGTTACTACTTGGTGATCTGCAATGAAATGTTGCAACAAGAGCAAATAGTATAAATTGATAATGGCATAACAAATTTGTTGGTCTTGCTCTTTTGCATAAATAGTCACTTTCTTATATTTAGTGGTCATGATCAGCTGCTGGTTGTAACTTGTTGCTATCACTATTTCATTAAATGTCTAAAATTACAGTTCACTTTGAAATTTTCTCTATGGTTTAACGACCCTCTGAAATGAAAAATGTGCCTCAAAAATTGACCCAAAGTAGTCAAATCCTAGCTCAAACCCTGCATTTTTATTATCATTTCTAGTGAATCATAGGCCTGATTACGTCTAACTATGAATGGTTCCCCAATTCAGTCAATTAAAAAAAGCAAAAACAAAAAGCAAACAATCTAAACAAACAAACAAACGCAAACAAATGACCTCAGAGATTGAGCTTACATACGTGATCTAGGAGATAACTTTCTTCTTCGACTGAAATGAAATCGGGAATGTAGAACGCTTTCGGTGGAGCCTGAAAAAAATATGCATTTAAGTGAATGTCACAGGCCATGAAATGGAATAATAATAATAATAATAATAATAATAATAATAGTAATCAGCTGTATCAGAAACAATTTACCTTTTTGATAATAAATTTTTCCAAATCAACTTCGTCGGCCATATTGGTTTTATTTCAGTTCCAGTCTTTCCGCGACAAAATGTGTAAATCTCGGTCAAGTCATGTGATTATGTTTATGAATTATCCGGAAAATTATTTTTTCTTTGTTATTGATGTCCTAAAGCTAACCAAACCTACAAGAAAAACAATATCAACGACACCAATGATAGAGGGAATTAAAAGAAAGAAAGGGATTGGAAAAAAGTGTGCGCCAGCCGGGAGTCGAACCCGGATCAACGGCTTGGGAAGCCGCCATGATAACCGTTACACCACTAGCGCCCACGCCCTGATACCTTGTGAAATTTTATTAATCAAATTGCTCATGCCACTGGGTAGACCGTTTTTCTACTATATGGATTTTTTTTCCAGAAGTCGTAGGAGAAGATAGTGTCAGTGTATAGACCTCCTTACACTCTTTAAATGTTTCCATTCGGCGCAGTCACCCGAACGTCCTAAAAGCTACGGACTCATCAGTCTCCAGGGGCGCGATCCATTCAACCAAAATTTCCGGAAATTTCAGTCCAAAACTCAATGGATCGGTTCGGTCCAACCGGAAAAGTTTCGAAAAAACGGGTCCACCTTTTGAGGTGGTCCTCTTTTCCCGGTCGGACCGGTCTGAATTTTGGTTGAATGGATCGCGCCCCAGGTCTAGATGGTGTTCGGGAACGCTGTAAAACGAGCGAGCTACAAAATTTTAAGTTCTCAACTGGACGTGAAGTCCCTACGGTATTTGAAATTTTTTTGTTGGTAGTAATCTGATACATAAACTAGAAATAGGTATTTCGCAATAACCCTCGCGAACTACTTGTTTTCTTTCATCTACCTCTGTTTTCCCGTTCCCTTAAAAGTTTACTTCAAGTTCAAGAGGCCATTCTAAAAAGTACTGTCTGTTTAACATATTTTGGCAAGAGATTTTAATCTTTCAGCTTCCCCCTCCTTCGGGAAATCGATCGGTTCCTGCCCCCGGATGGTAGTGATACTTATCTCATCATCCCTCTTTCCCAGCCACACTCCGCCCCCCACCCTACCCCCGCCCCGCCCTACCCCCATCCTTCGACTGCCGTGTCAATATCAACAACACCAGTTTGCTTCTCCAGTCCTTACCGAATCCTATTAAAATATTATTTCGCGGTTTTCAATCTGATAAATTAGAAAACCACATTTGACCGCTCTCAGCAAGCGGCTTTATGTGAATAAGACCTAAACACTTACCCAATTGTTGTTAGCCAATCAGCGAGGACGATTTGCGACAATCTCTTCAAATGCGGTGAAACCAGAACAGTAGAATTATGAATTCCTCAATCATCAAAGAGTTTACGGAGTACTTCAGTGGTGGACAGATTTTACTCAAGTTTAAAACTAATTTCGAAGCAAACCTAAGAAACAGTTGACCCGCAGTCGCCGGTAAGTATAACCATTTGGCTGAAGAGTAATCAACATACTTATCGCGTGCGTGTAGATTTGTCAACACGCAAGCGGCAACGGTAAAAATAGGCAAAGGTAGCCGAAGTTTTGATTATCCTCTATCGCTTTTGCCACCATTTTGCAAGAAACATTTGGAAAGCTCACGCTGAATAAATCTTCATCAAACACATGCATGTAATATTATTAAGACGAGAAGGAGTTTTAAATACGTCTTATTAGTACTTTTCAGAACAGGAGTTTTACTGTTCGAAACATTTTTTGTTATGGCAACAAACTCAATCGAGTCGTTCAGAATTTTGAATGTCTAGCAAAAACATTGAAGTCATATTGCATTTACGAGAGCTGTCGTTTAATGTTGCTGATTATGTCAGCTTTTTGTATCACTCTCGTCTTTTTTTAAAGTAATATTCACTGTCTAAAGTACGTTGAAGTGTATCGAAATATCTCATAACATATTCGTGTCAGATAAAGAAGAAACTCTGCATGAGCCAAAAGTCAGCTTGTTCAAATAGTCCCTACCGAGAGTGGTGTAAAACGTCGATCTAAAAAAGCTATGGTGTCGGTCAGGATTTTGTTAGTTTTGTTTTGTTTTTGTTTGCTTCGTTCTGGCTCAGAAATTTTCGATCTCCTCGAGGAAGAAAACAAGAATTCCCTGGCGTGGCAGCGATCGCAAGCATACGAGAGGTAAAGCAGTTTTTACGAGGTTACACACTAAAACAAAAACAAACAAATAATGATGTTTATACATGGAGTCTTCTTGTTACCGTAAAACAAATTTAAACTTTTTGTTCTTAATTTTGTTAAAACAAATGAGAAAATAAATTAAGGTATTCCTAAGCAAGAAAAGCGGCAAAAGATAGTTTACATCAAGACCAAAGCAGAAGTAATTCAGTTTTCAGTTTGTTTTTTTATAAAGGACGGCGGATACGCTACATTATTTTTCATTCCTGAGAGCGTGAAAAAAGCTAACAGTTTGTGCGCAGTTTATGCACTTACAACTGCGTAAGAATAATAATGAGCCAGAAATTGTTGATATTCATTGTTAGGGGCCCGAAATCTTTGTCTAGTACTATCAAAATTGAACTTCCTGAATTGAAAGAAGTCATTGGTACTCTGCGCAATGCTACGTCATAAGTATTCTTTCAATAGACAAGCCATGACAAGTTTTGTTCAATGACTTTTTGTCGACATCAAGAAGTCTCTTGAGCTATTACTAACATTCACAGACTTCATAGACAAAACTCTTTGAGTTTCGTTTATAGATAACTCTTTAAAGTGTAAAATCCGGCAGTACAGAGGAAGGACTTCTTTTGAACGACTTCTAGTTGTTTAAAGGAGCAGTGAACTGTCATTAATTCCATAAAAGTGCGCGTTACTGTTTGTTCAAAAAGCAAACATTGAATATGACTTAAACATCTGCTGCCTTAGTTGCCGCTTAATTACAAAAAAAAAGAAGTCAAAATATGACAGTGAAACTCGAGACTCGAAAAGAAAAAGAAAGTCCGACGGATCTTGAGTTTGTCAGCAATAACTGATGGCAAAATAATAACTGAAAACTTATGACAACTGTTTTTCTTCTAGAGGGCCTGAAAAACTCTTCAACATGAAATTGTTCTGGTACTGGATAAGGTTTCAGCCGAAATCATGAGGACAACGGATTTGCAAAAGGATGAACTTCGACTTAAAGCGCAAAATATTTACAATGTGTATTCCTCTTTCCGCAAAAACCAGAAGGAGGCAGAGAGTTTTTACAGCTACCACCGCGATAAAGACAGGTTTGAAAGTGATAAAGAGAGGCAGTTTTTGGTGAGAGAGCGACCTCTGTTGTTGCCGCCATTGGAGACAAGTGCGCTTTCAGGGCAAACTTCGAAGCAAGTCAATCAATTTGCTCCTGTCGCGAAAGAAAAAACGTCTAGAGTTCTTCCAAGACATCTGCCTAAAATTGAAACAAGGACAACAGAATTGGACAAAGAACCAAAAAATTATGATATAGTTTCCAGAATGTTAGAAAAACCAGAGGAAACCATGAACGAAAAACTTCCGCCTTCAATGACTAGAACACTGAAGCCAATGCCGCGTGCTGCCTTGACGTCTTCAGCCACATTGCGAGGTTTAAAGAGATTGAAATCAGAAGACAAAGACATTTTCCGGTTTCGCTTTTCTAATTATAATGTCAAAGACATTAATGTCTCCTCCCTTAATGAACTTAGTTGCTCTAGGGTAGGCCGCCCCAAAAAAGCGGCACAGGGTACGACCGGAAGGACTAAACCGTCTTATATCAATCACTTCCTGTAACTGCGCGCTTGCTCTCGTAGTTGTTCCCAGGTCCTTAATTACAGGACTGGGAAAAAGAACACAACTATAAAGAAATTTCTGGCACTTAAGGTCACACGAACGTCAAAATCTGGAAACTAGCTCATTACGTCAAAACAGACTCCTATTCAAAATGATTTATTAACTGCAGGGAGCGCTCAACAAACTTCAAAATGAACATCGACCTGTTGCATTTTCGCTATTGTTATGACACACAATGCTTTATTTGGGTGGGGGCTGAGTTGCACGTAATGATTCAGCTCAGGGGGGGGGGTACTCCCTTATATAATATAAGTCACTGATGATAGCAGGAGCCCATCATATAGGTATCTGCCGCCCCAAACTGGTTTTTGTGCCGTTTTGATCTGAAAACGAGTATAGATTTTGCCCATTTTGGTCTGGAATTGGGTGTGGTTTACGAAGGAACTGCGGCCAGTGTGTATCAATGCCAAATAAATAAGAAAGAGAGAGTAATATGCGAATTCGAAATGGATTTTAAGAAATCGTTTTGTTGCGGTATTAATCTGACATGATGACATGATTTCTGGTTTATGTAAACATGTAATGCTGCGTAATACTGAAAACGGGTTTGGAAATTAAATTTTTTTTGATCTGAAATAGGGTCAGGAGCTGAAGAACCGGGCGGCACACCCCTACCATGAATTCCCAGGAGTTTCTACCCCCGGGTAATTCAGATAGCGACAAAACGTAAAAACGTAACCTATGAACCTTTTCTCTCGTGGATCATTGGGCGAAAGCGCCGATTAGCCTGCGAAATGATGCACACTAAATGGAATGTTCTGCCCGCTGAGTTACGCACAGGTCACATCTCTCTAGCCTCATTTAAGCGTTCACTATTTCAATATTATTACTATAAGGCTCTGGACCCGTAGGACATAGACGACATCAGAACCTGGAGAACAATCGGTCCCGGGTGCAACATAGCGAGGACTCTCCTGTGCCCGACGACGCCTGCTTCTAGCAATTTGAACTTCTGTTTTGTTTCCTTTTGATTTTNCGAATTCGAAATGGATTTTAAGAAATCGTTTTGTTGCGGTATTAATCTGACATGATGACATGATTTCTGGTTTATGTAAACATGTAATGCTGCGTAATACTGAAAACGGGTTTGGAAATTAAATTTTTTTTGATCTGAAATAGGGTCAGGAGCTGAAGAACCGGGCGGCACACCCCTACCATGAATTCCCAGGAGTTTCTACCCCCGGGTAATTCAGATAGCGACAAAACGTAAAAACGTAACCTATGAACCTTTTCTCTCGTGGATCATTGGGCGAAAGCGCCGATTAGCCTGCGAAATGATGCACACTAAATGGAATGTTCTGCCCGCTGAGTTACGCACAGGTCACATCTCTCTAGCCTCATTTAAGCGTTCACTATTTCAATATTATTACTATAAGGCTCTGGACCCGTAGGACATAGACGACATCAGAACCTGGAGAACAATCGGTCCCGGGTGCAACATAGCGAGGACTCTCCTGTGCCCGACGACGCCTGCTTCTAGCAATTTGAACTTCTGTTTTGTTTCCTTTTGATTTTAGTCGTTTATATATCAGTAGCTTTAGTTATTAAGTTTTAAGTTGTTATTTTTCTGTTATTATTATTATTATTATTATTATTATTATTATTATTATTATTATTATTATTATTATTATTATTATTATTATTATTATTATTATTTACGAGGCGATCCACTGTAATTGGTTAGGCCGGTAGCGGTCTACCTGCCTAATAATTTTTATGTATTCACGTATAAACATTGTATTCTAGTTAGGCGAAGCTAAATAAATAAATAAATTGGTCTTTTTTCAAATATGATCGCTGTAAAGACAAAACTAGACCTGTCAGTTCAAAATATCTTCACATAGTATATGATATCTCGCTGTTTTTTCTTAGTGTACGCAATAGCCTGTCGGCAGCACGTTTTCTTCTCTGCAAGCGCCGTTCCGTCATCACGAATTCTTATCCCGTGTGCGCCAATAAGCGCCAACATGCGCTCAATAACTGCGCGCACGCGCGTGTGCTATAAATTAACATGAATGCATAGAGATTTTATAAATAATTTTTATTTAAATTGTACAAACATTTTTCGCACTTTATTCAATTATTAAGTTAAGATGCGTGATTTGAGCGTAGCACGCGCTAATCATAATTCCCACAACCGGCTTCTAGAATAGTTCTTGTGTCTTTTCTACTTTGATATCGGATGCAAAAATTGGCGAATTTGCATATCACCTTCGACACATTAAGTAAACAGGACGTTAACACTATAGCCACATAGAAATTTGATTGGAAAAGGAAAGCGGAGGTAGACGTAAAGGCAATCGTCAAAAACATAGATTACTTCAGCTATTTTTTCTTGTGTTTTGACAAATTTAGCTAAATTTGTGTTAGTTCTATTTAAATTCCACGGTACCATTGGTCGTTATGCATACGCATAAAATTACTAGCTGGCTCCTCACACTATAGTTGCTGTCCTGCATAGAAAGACACTACACTTTATTGGCCCCACAGTCCGATCAAGTTATCTAATTAGTTGCACTGAATGCAACGACTGCAGTCTGTTGTCAAGCTTATCTTGATCGCGAAAGCATTGGTGTTCCTGGTACGCTTTGTTCGTCCCAGCCAGCATTAGGAAGATAAACATGTATTGAAAGCTTTCGACCACTCTCGTCCTCTCCCAACTGGTCTTTTTCTTCTGGGCTTTGGCAGCGGCCCTTGTGAACAACATGTCGAGCCCATGGTATTGGCAAGCTTGGCGTTTTTCTGTCCAGAATTGTACTTTGGTTTCCCAATCTAAATCTCGCGCGAAACTTTTGTAAAAGCTGCAAGCCTTCCTCGTCGGAATTACAAAATATAGAATCTCTAGACTTAAGTTCCACCCGCCACTCTTTCTCCAACAAGTTAAGTCCTTCGGGGTTTATTTGAAAGCGTACCGGCTTGGATTTGCCGCCAAGAAGCAAAAAGATTTCTTCTTGTTCTCCACGTGTTTGCGAATGTTTGCTATTGTTTGCTGCGAGAACTCTATGGAAATAGCTCCTGCTGAACCCGGGCTCTCGTCCATTCATAGAAATTGTAGCTAGATCTTCGTACTTTCCTATCTCGTTCCGTCGGCCTTTCATTCTCTTTAAGCAAGAATACAGTTTGTTTAAAGAAACTGCGTGCGAACTATTTGCAGTGCCCGAAATTGTTGCTCTGTTGCTAACGACCTGCTCGTCGCGAGTCAAGTTCTCTTTGGATACTTCCTCTTGTATGCTTCCACGTTTCGACGGATTCTGCTGCGATTCAGCCAAACTCATTCTTTGTCCTGTACATCGCATGCCAGCTAGGGGATACAGATCAACAGATTCCAGTCCCGTGCTGGTTAATCGAGTTTGTATTGACCGGTGCAAATCAACCAATTGGTTTTTGTTCATCTCGGCACTGACCCCGGTTGGCTTTTCAAGCTTCTCTGTTGCTGCTGTCGTTGTTTGTTTTGTCTTAGCGTTCCCTTGCTCTACATACAGCTTATTGTTGGCAGGATTGCGTATAGAAGACAGGCTGTCGGTTTTTCCTATAGAACGCACTTTTATCGTTTCGTCCAATACTGAACACAATTGTTGGCAATCTGTGTTAGTATTGTTATCATCTTCGGGGTGACGAAAGGCCGGTTTAGCATAATTCCGTAGATACGGCGGCACCCGAAACTGGCCTTTGGGAAATACGTCCTCTCCTCGGAAAAAAGCAAAACTCATTTTCTGGGAAGACAATGCACTATCACTGGACACTCATAATCACTGCCATACGACACCACTCTCAAAGATCTACCTGATCTGTATGAAGGTTTACTGTTAGGTTTATGTTAGAGCGCGTACAATTTTTGTAATGCAAACACTGTCCTAACACTAGTGTACTTATATTAGACAATCAATGCGTCTCATAGTTTTTACTTTAATCCCTTATTTCAACGCATTGACAGTAAGAACAATTAACATTTGGGCTCCACTTGTCTTCACAAAGAAATTAAATCAAATAAACTGACTCCGTTTCATTACCATGATAATGAGTGCCAAGTTATTACAGATTGGGGTCTTTCTGAATGGCCGCTTTAAGAAAAAAAAGCACTGCATAATGAAATAAAACAACAGTTTTAGAAGGTTTAGTGTCACGAACGAAGAGATTTATACGCACAATTATCATTTGTGACTCCACTAGTAGTGTTCAGGACTCCGAGCATTTGCGATGACCTACAATTCAATTTAGTGTCATTTGTGATCAGAATGTTAACTGACTAAACGAAACTTGATTAACTTCCATCCATGTTTATACAGTAAAGAAGTAATATTTACCGTTTCCTTAATTTTTCAAGGTAAATATTTATGTCTTTTATTTCCTTCATGACCCCGCATTGGAGTGGGCGAGATAAGCAAAATTTGATTTAAATGGTCAACTTTGGCCTGACAAAACAGTCGTTTCTGCTCAGAGATGGCTGTTTAATTTTGGCAGGCTAGGCCAACGTCATCGACGCCATCAAGAAGAATTAAGGAACTGTTACGCAGCGAAACCGAAAAGGAGCAACCATGATTGGAATCCGAAACACTGCTTTCTTTAAGAAATGAAACCGTTACTGGCAGCTTACTTCAGATAACCAACTATACAAAAATGAATTTGTAGTTTAAAAATAGTGCATTTTCAGTGAATCATTTTTTGAAAATCATGTACCTGAAAAAGGAAATGTAAGCAAATCAAAGTCTTAATCATAAATAATAGAAACAAAGAAAAACTGAAATCTTTCAAGGCATGAACGAATAAAAGCAACATTTGCCTTAGGATCAGTAGATCTCTAAAAAGTGCATGATGGGTAAGGTGTGGGAGTGATTCTCTCTTGGTTTTGTCAGCTGACTTGATAAAAGTGACTCCTCCTCAACAGCTTACCTCTCGGGCGCTAGCTCTTTATCACATAAACTGCGAACCGCAGACGTATTTCCGGTCGTCGCTTCGAGTGGCAAACATGTCGCGAGATATGATATGTGCAACGTCCTTCCCAGGGCCCTCTTCTTCTCCTCTCGCTCCGGGGGAGGAAAAGGAGAGGACCTGAGAACGAGGTTGAGGTAAGTGGGAAGTGAAATCCACCATTGGGTTTGTAGTGTGCGTGTGGTCAATGGTACAATAAATGACGCTACATTATACGTCCCCGTACAACACTTAAGTATTAAAACATGGGTTTGGTACGAGCGCTCATTCTTGTTGGCTCACAAACCTGGGTTTACATTATCAATTGTTTTGTCCCGGCAATGCGCCACAGTTGTTAATCGTGTGAAGCACTGATTTTAACTTATTTTACGCCAGACTTAACTATGTCCACCATCAGTGTGCTAAAGAGATAATTTAATGGGCACAAGTTACAAATCAATTGTTTTCATTTTTCTCGCGTATTTTGTCTAACCTTCCTTTTCCAAAATGTCTTTATAAATTACAGGTAAAATCTAACCATACTTTTCGCGAGTCTTTCTTCTTGTCCTAACTACTACAACAACATTTCGTAAAACTGTATTTACCAAATTTATCTTCCATTGTAAATAGAGCGTTTATGTTAAGCGAATAAATAATGTAAATAGTTTGTCTCTGAAACCTCTCTGCATTTCTTGTAAGGTATCTCTAGTAAGTATTAATTTTTTCTCGTTTTTTAATATTTTTCCTCTACGTAAAAGCTCAGTTCAGTTGACAACTAATCTATGTTGGGCTATCTTCGTCAGGAAGTGTGAAGTGACAATTACGCATGCGCAAATCTGTTAAAATACGAATGAAACCGCGTTTTGCGTCGGTTGTTCTATCCGTATCAACTAGATTTGTCCGGTTCGGGGCCATAAAACCCTTCATACGCCGAACACTCCTTCACGGTTACAGTTCCTCTCTCTGTAGTCACATCGGTGATTATCATGCTGTTAGCCAAGAATTCGAACCGGGAATAACGCGATATCAACGGACTCTTTTTTACTTCTGCGGGGGCTCCGATCGGGGTATCTTGTCTTGAATAGGTCGGGAGGTTCATCGAACCTGAAGGAAGATTGTCAGTGCTTGTTTTCGTCTGCTTGTCAATGTCGTTTGTCGCAGTTTTTTCGCTGGCATGTGGTCCCTCCAAGTCACATTTGTTCGTATTTAGGAACTGAGCTGAAATAGCGGGTATGCTGATCTTTGTTTCTTCTGCAGTAGCTGAAGCAGATATCCCTATTTCCGTATCAACGTTATCCGCTGCAACAGGGACATCGTGGTCGCTTTCACTCTTCATCTCAACCGATGCAGGTACTTCAACACTTTCCTTCACTACTCCTGGCTCATCCGTGCCGAGAGCTACCTCAGATTCAGTTGAGGGCTCTGGCGCATTCTCATTGACACTCTCGTCCACCTTCGGAACTGTTCGCTTTCTCCGACGACGCTTTCGTTTCACAGGCGGCGGGAGGACTTCTTGCGATGGACCATCCATTTCGCAGTCACCCCCGCGATCACTGACATGTTCAATGTCCACTGAAGGCTCGCCAACTTCGGCTGGCTAGATATTTAAGAACAGGGAAATAAAAAAAAAATTAAAATTTAAGCATGCAATTTGCACTTGGAATCAATCGAATATCCAGAATCCTCTAGTGATTTACAGTCCATGATTTCGCCTACACGCATTTCAATTCCCTTTCCTACTTGGTTAATTCGCCTCCTACGTCTTTGAATTTCTTTTCGGTACACATACAAGATCAAAAGAAATAGGAAAGACTAAGACAGCGTCGTCCGCTGGTAACAAAACAAATTGTAAGTAGTTTGTGAGGTTATCGCTGCGACTTAAGTCGTCCTAAGTCCTCTCGCGCTCCTAGGTATCGGCGTTTAAAACAAACGACTGAGGACAAGGGTGGGTTTCAAAAGCCTGAGTACATCAGCCTTTTGCCTACTACTCGTTGGCTTATCACACTTAAAGAATTTCATCCACAAGACTCAAAAGTTAGAATCACCTTGTACAGCACAATAAACAGCACCAAAGGAAAGTAGTGCTCGGTAGTTTTGACTGGTATGGTCACACTTAAGAAATTTTGGGATTTTCTCTCTCTTTTGTGCATTCAAAAGTAAGAACATCCTTGACTGCAAAGTAAACTGTGCCTCACAGGAAAACAATGTGCAGTAACCCATACAAGAATTATCGTCACACTGAGCATCTTCATGATGGCAAATGTCTTAGAAATGAGAAGCTCCAAGTTCAGTTATAGGGCTGGCTTATTATCATAACATTTTAGCCCAGCCTAAAAGAAAAATGATTTATTGCAGATCTGAACATGTCCAAAAAAGGTTTTGCGCTGTTTATGTTCACACGAGCGTTCAGCAGCTATACTTCTCACTTCTAGACCAAGTTTAACTGAGATAATGGAACTTGGTAGATCTGTTGCATAGTATTAAAAATGTCTTACGATTAAAGAAGGAGAAATTCTAATTTTCTCTGGAAATTTTTTCATAGGCCACTATAGGGACTAAAACAGTTAAACAAAGGAGACATAAGATTAGTACTGAGAGATGCAAAATGTGATCTATACATGTGCCTAACTACCAGTGACCAACAGGGTGTGGCACTGTTACACAAAAAGCAGACTGGAGTAGGACAATGTAGGGCAAAAGTTGCCTACTGTAGTTGCTGTAATGGATCTTCTCAGGCATTCGCGGTCAATGCATTTCTGTGACGTAGTCACTCACCCAGACCACAGACCTGAAAACTTTTGGCTACATGAAATAAATTGACCTCAGAGGGATTAGACAAGGGCACAAGATTATCCCTGGTGGTAAATATAAGTCAGTGTGACCTTTTGTAGCTCAATCATTTTTCTTATCACTCACTGGCGGCTTTATGCTTCTGCTTTGACCAAAATAAGCACAATAACTCTTATTTTAACTGAGCTACTGATTGTATAAGCACTCCGCTGTTATCTGGGTTATTTCACATTTTATTTACCAGGTGATACTGTTTAAGTCTGACTTGTCTGGGGCAAAATTCCAGGGGGACCACCATGAAAAAAACAAAATTGTTCAAGATGTCACACCACACTGCACTTAATGCCAACATCTTTGCATGGAGCAGTTAAAGTAACTAAGCCTGTTATTTGGTTGTCTTCTTTAGTATGGTCAAGTGAAGCTAGACTACAAGTAGTCCCCCATTTTTCCTCAGGGATAGTAGAACGAGCACAACACGGAAAAAAAATTTTTCTCTCTCCCCGCCGCATGTCACCTTTTCTCGCGTGGGGTGATTTTCACGGACGCTCGCATTTCACTCGCTCTACTATCCCTGAGGAAAAATGGGGGACTACTCGTAGTCTAACGTAAAGCCTGAGCCAAGCCCAAATTGGTCTAGCCTGTGTACAGATGTCCTCTTCCCCTCTTTCTGAGGGGAGGG